TGTCTGAGCACAGAAGCAGCAGAGTCAGGTTGTGTTTTGGAAAGATCACCCTGACTGCACTTGTGATTGCATGATGTTCATGGTCTGTAAAATCATCTATCCTCAGGTAAGACTTTTGCTTCTGGAGTAAATTCTCCAATGAAGGATATCAAGGCCCTTCCCAGCGTTTTGTTTAGACATAATTCTGCAGTGAGTATCACAGCCAAATCAACACACACTAAGTCATTATAACCAATGTCTACTAGTAAGTGTTCTTCATTCTACATGGGTGTGACTGAAGAAGTTGAATGTTCTTACCACCCCACGAGAGGACTATCTGAGAGTTTGTCATTCCAGCCTAAACTTGCATCCAGGAAGAACAGGCCCCTCTCAGAGAGCACCAGGGGAGTTTATGTGGTCAACTATCTACACAGCAGAACCATTTTTACTGGTCTTTGAGCCCCACAAAGGCACATTTAGGGTCCTGGAGATTTTACAAAGGCCCAGGTTTCCTTCTGTACACTGGACCCTGGTTGACCAGGCTGACTTACATGAGAAATCTCCACCACTGTCCTGCAGCCTGCCTCACTTCTGTACTGATGCACAGTCTGTCATGCTCACAGCATCTCTCTTCCTGCTGCACAGTCTTCTGACTTCTCAGTGGCCTCTCTCCTGGGCACTGCTGGATAACCCAAGCTCCAACCTCCTTCTTGGGGTTCATAATTTTTTGGGGGGTGGGGGGGTTGAGACAGGGTTGCTCTGTGTAGTTTTGGTGCCTGTCATGGATCTCGATCTGAAGACCAGAATGGCCTCATACTCACAGAGATGTGCCTTGCTCTGCTTCTTGAGTGCTGGGATTAAAAGCATGTGCTACCACTGCCAGGCGAGGCTCATAATTGGTACATCTTTATGCTCAACCTTGACTCCTTTCCACTGGAAAATTGGCCCAGCCCAGCTTGTCTCCAGACCATCTCCTGGCCATACCTCTACCATCTCTATCAGAGCTACACTTCTCTGGAGATCACTTCAGCCACTGCACCCTCTCCTTCCTCCAGATACGATTCTTCTAGATGTCTTCCCAGGCATCTCCCAGTCCTTGCCTCCCTCTATATCAACCCTTGTCTCTCTCAACCATGTTCCTCTTACAAACAGCAGGAAGAGTCCTTATTGAGTCCATGTAGGATGAGACCTATGACCAGGGAAAGGACCTATGGCCTGGATACAGCAAGAATGCTCCAGGGACTGTTGCTGGGATACAGCATACCAGAGTTTTTCAGCAAGAACACTCCAAAGTCATGTGGCTGGTTGAAAGACTGAAGGGAGGATCCCTGACCTGTCCACTCCTTTCCTGGTTCAGTGAGGGGCTCACTCTTCATTATTTCTACACAAGACACCAGTATACACACAAAAAGAGAGAGGGAGAGGGGAAAGATAGAGAGAGGGAGAGACAGACAGAGAGAGCAGTTGTTGTTCAGATGAGCTAGGTGGCAGCCTCTGACTTTCCTGACAAAGACATGATTATCACTTGATGGCTTGAAAACTCAGGCCATGGAGCCTTGAACAGAGAAAAGACATAGTGAGCTGTGATTAAGTGGGCAGTGCAGGGCTCAGTGTATCCTGTCCTGTGAGAAAGAAAGGCCTTGTGGGAGAGCCAACCTGGGCACAGTTGGCTCACCGATTGTCAGGTGTCCATAACAATGCTTACCACGGGTGTGTGGAAGATGACTCAAATCTAGGAAAGCTTCCCCATTTATTATTCTTTCTGTATGTCACATGATGTCATATACAGATAAAAGCTCATCAAAGAATTCATTCTGTCAATTAGGTTTCTTCTTTTTTCTTTAAGAAATTTTTTATTCATTTTACATACCAACCACAGATCCCTGTCTCATCTCTCCTCACGCTTCCCCCAGCATTGCCCCCAACCTAACTCCCTATCCCCACCTCCAAAAAGGTAAAGCTCCCATGGGAATCAGCAGAGCCTCGTACATTCAGTTGCAGAAGGTCCAAGACCCTGCCCTCTGTACCAAGGCTGTGCAAGGTGTCCCATCATAGGTAATGACCTCCAAAAAGCAGCACAGGCACCAGGTATAGATACTGATCCCACAATTATGTTTCTTCTTAGAGCTGATAAATTGCTTCTAAAATTGCTCATTTGAATTATCTCAACACTCTTCAAGGTAAACTTAATATTGTCTTGGATTTCAGTTAAGAAGTGATCCAGGGTTTTTT